GCTGAAAAGACTCAGGGCCTGGAGGGCCCTGTTTTAGGCTGAAACGACACAGGGCCTGTAGGCCCTTGTTTTCAGGCTTTCAGGCTGAAACGACACAGGGCCTGTAGGCCCTTGTTTTCAGGCTTTCAAGCTGAAACGACCCAGGGCCTGAAAATGTCCCTCGTTTGAAGGCGCAGCATGTAACACTCTTATCAGACCACATGCATGAAACCTACAACAACCTGGGCAGGAGTGACTCAATGCAGAAAGAGATGACACTCTCTCAAGACAGACTCGACTGCAGCAAATACCAAGGCGAGTGTGCAACATCCACAGAGCATAAAAGCACAAGGGTCAGGGCTTATAAAGAGATTAAATGGCTCCTCACTCCGCACTCCAAGCGTGGTGAATGGTCAACTCAGTCAACTGTGCCAGTCAACTCTCGCCGAACATTGCTCACTGGTCAATCTTCGTCGGTCAACTCTCACCGGTCAACGTTCCCTGGTCAACGCTCGTCGGTCAACTCTTTCCGTTAACGTTCACTGATCAACACTGCACCAGTCAACTCTTTGCCTGTCAACTCTGAACAACTTCGCCTTCTTCTTCTTCGTCCTCAATCTCGGCTATGGCCAACTTCTTCTTCTTGGTCAGCTATGGTTGCTCTCACCTTCTTCTTTGTCACATCTCCCTTCTCTCCTGTCACTTTCTTCTTCATCATGTTTCTTCCTCTTCTCCAAGCTGGAAGCTATGGCTGCCGTCTGCTATGGCGGTCTTCTTCCTTGCTCACGCGCATCCCCCTCTCACTTCCATGATGCTTGCGCAGACAACAGGAACCAGCTCGGATACCAATGCAATCAGACTTGATTTCAACTTCACTTTCAACATACATACATAAAAGTGCCAATGGTAAAACAACTTCCTCGAAGTAGGATCAGCAACAAGAGTGAGATAGTGCAGGGCGCCCGCACAAAAAAGTTGCCTATGGCCGCCATCGTCTCCCTCCTACTAATGGCTATGGCTGCTCACCCTCTTCCACCTTCGGGCACTGGTTGACCACGGGCGAACTTCAACGCACAAGTCACTTGGGCAGCACTTCCACGTACTCCACCAGATAATGAGCGACTGACTGATCGCTGCCTCTTTATTTGTACTGTTTCGTTTGGTGATCTGGGCCTGGCGATGTCCCAGGCCCTCAGGATGTGCAGTCCCAATCTGCTGCAAAAACGGACTGGACTGGGACCGCCCCTTCATTTGCCCCTTCGGTGTTTGGCTTGGGACTCTTGGCCTTTCAGAGATCGACGGGCTGCCTCCTGGCACTTCGAAAGGTCAAATGGACTCTTCTAGAACTGTGTAGACTACGGCTGACTGACTTTTTGAGAGACGTAGAGCTAGACCTACGGACTGACCCTATGACTGCTAATAGACAGGTGTATGGTTCAAGCCCACACGGCCCCAGTGGCTGCATGTCAGAAGAAGAAAATGACCCGAACAGACCTGACGCGTGCATAGCATGCTCAGACCAAGAACAGGAAGATATGACACACTGCCTAGTCAGATGTAAAGAGGTACAGAATAAGGCGTTTGGATCTGTGGGATACCCTTTTCTCAGTTCCCCTTTGTGAACACCCGACCCAGCTAATAATCTGGACTAACACTAAGGTCGTAAGCCAGAAAAAACCTGGGTTGGAGTGACCCGCAAGTTTACACTGTGGGCAATATGGAAGCGAAGATATTGCAGAACTGTGGAGGGAACTGAGAACCCAAGTTACAAGGTCTGGGCAGCCAGCAAGGGAATGATTGAAGCGGGAATGTTGCGTCAATGGAGGAAGGTCAAAATCTTGGTCCAGAGGAGGCCAGATGTAGAGCAGGAGATACTGGCTAGCAAGGTGGCTTACCTCAACGGTGTGAATCTAAGGTGGAACGCGTGACTCATCTCTGACACGACAGTTGTACATCAGAATAACCAGACGCAAAAGGATCAGTACACCAGCTGAACTCAACACAGACGAAGCACCAGCAATGGAAGAATGGCTACACTGATGAAAAATGGGACTTCAATTCGACAGCAATCAGGTGGCCAATTTCAACATTGTGAGCATCGAGTGTCTTCTAGAATCAGGTGGCCAATTTCAACGCTGTGAGCATCGAGTGTCTTCTAGAATCTTTTTTAAGTTATCTGCCAGAGTTGGAACGCCGGAGTTCAGAGGATTTCTAGAAGAATGGCAAGCTGACAGTCAATCCTCCATGTGAGTGGAGCAGTCAATGCTGATCCGGGTTCCTCCGGCCAAATGGGAGGAAGTGTGGGTGCGAGGATTTAGTCCCTCGGCAGTGTCTGAAAGGCCGTGCCCGCCCTAGGTGAATGCGGGCCTGCAAATATGTGCCAATGCCTGTTTATAGGCCTATGAGACCAGGCTGAGGGGCCCAACCAGAGCCTGTTGGAAACCCTATGTTGGCATGGATTTTCGACGAGGCCTTGTTACGAGTTAGCTCCTCGGCATGCCCTTGTGGGGCCCTTTCAGCAAGCATGAGCCTGCCCTAAGTGAATACGGGCCCCTGAATTTCAATATGGCCTGAGTTCGTTAATTTTGGCAAAGTTTGGTGGGTGCCAGACAGTTGCCACGCCCCAGTTGGTTACATCCTCCATACTCGTGAGAATCAGAAATAATTCGTGAGCCTTCTAGGCTCTTCCAGCAGCACAGGCAAAGCAGGGAGAACCTCACGGTTACTCCTGGGTGGTTGGGCATGCCTAACCAATTTGGTCCCAGGCCACTGTCTGAACGGGCCTGGGTGCAGACACTTTGGCGGAGACTGAAGCTACTGGAAACGCCCGCCACTTTCCATATAGGAAAGGGCTGGGCTCCAGTCGAGAAATTCAGGCACTGGCTTGTGCAAGTGGCAGCGCTGCTGGAGTGTGTGCTCGCGGGCTGCTTGCTTTGCGCTAGCAGATGCCTGGCACGCGCGGGCGTCGAGGTAGAAGACAGGGTGCTGCTGAAGGCAGCGCCATAGCCAACCCTGCATAGCCAGGGCTTGGCTTGGATAGCCAGTGGAGGTGGTGGTGGCCTTCGTGTACGGGTAGGAAGATGTGGGTAGACAAGACGAGGGGGAGAGAGAGAAATAAGGATGATGATGTGAGGGCACGTACCTGGTCTTGGCGATGGTCTACAGGGTCGACATCTTCATGTACTTCGGTTGTTGCTGCTGACGTCAGCAGGATGCGTTGTCAATTCGTAGGCTGGTAGTAGCCATGTGATCATAGTCTGGGCGCTGAGCCACGAGTAGGAGGAAGGGCTCCGGATACATATGTTGGTGGTAGCTGTGTGATCGTTGTCTGGGCGCTGAGCTCCAAGTAGGAGGAAGGGCTCTGGATACATATGTTGGTGGTGGCGAGAGTATGCTCTCATTGACATTCGGATTCAGTGCTTTGGTTCTCCGTTGGTGGAATATCAGTGCATTTCTGCTTTCTGGACAGCTTTGGACTTTCTGGCTTTCAATGTGATTTTGCATTCTGGATTTCTGTAATTTCTCTATCGGCCATTTTCCTTGCATGGGTGTTTCAATTGATGTATATCTGTGACTAGCCAGGGGAAACGATTGCTAAACATTGGCTATTGGATGACTTCCCTTCATGGTAGGATATCAGCTCTCTCTCAGACCCTCTCCGAGACCCATCTTGCACCCCTGACCAACTGGTGTGGGTGTAACAGTCTACAGGGCCAGAAATAGTGGTGTCTCGTGCCCAACTGCAGGGACTCAACTTCTAGAATCTCGTATTCTCTCATACCAGTACTCAACTCTCTCTCTCTCTCTCTCTCTCTCTCTCTCTCTCTCTCTCTCTCTCTCTCTCTCTCTCTCTCTCTCTCTCTTGTGCACATGTACCTGTGTCCTCTCTGTGGTTTGCAGTCAGAGCTTGAGGACTTGGCATTCATGTATGCTTATCCTGAAGAATATGCTGAAGTGCGGTGGAGGATTGATGCTTTGTCCAGGAGTCAGGCAGATGTTGTTCTTGAGGTAGGTATCTAAAGACTCAGGAAGGAATGAGATCATTGGGATGTCCATTTCTTCTATCCTCACGAGTTTGAAACTTCAGATTTGCAAGTTCAACTTTACCACTTAGATCACTCTCATAGTAGCACTTTGCTGGAGGTATGAAGACTGTAGTAGGGTGGGGAACTGCGTCTGGATTCTCTGGATCCATGACAAAAGGGACCTTTGTGAGCTCTATGATTGTGGCGATGATGTTGGTATGATGAGCAGGCGTGGATTTGAATCATAGGAAGGATGTCAATCTGCTTTATTCTCAATTCTGAACCATGTTTTCAGGCTAAAAACGTTCTGCTGGGAGCGATCAAGAAGGACAAATTTTTGGACCTTACTACTGTGGATGCACATGTGGTCACTATCTGCAAAGAACCATACAGGTACAATCGTCATTTGACCTTGGCCATTTTCCTTTCAATTCTCGTTTGCCCTTTGTCGCTCGATGTCCCTTGTCACTTAGCATTCAATCCCTGTTTCCCTTTCTCGGGAATGTTTTGTAGGATGCTGAGCAAGAGGCAAGCACAAACATGGATGCTACCTTCTATATCTGGCTGACAGAAACGACGTAGAAAACCATGACGACACTAACTGCTTGCATCTGCATGTGCAGGGTGTTCAGATGTGTCACCTGTCAAACAATTGGAAGTGCCACATGTCGACCGATGCTAATACACAACAAACATAAACTATTCAACTTTGCTCGTCACTGCTAAAAAACCTCTTAGCTCTCTTAAATGTCACTGGTTTGCCAAGTGTGGCACAACAAACAGCCTCTCTTGCTATGTTATGTGCATGGCACTCTGATGGTCTAAGTTTACTTGGCATGGATGTGCTCGCCTTTGGAATGCAGATGTCAGACACAACCTTGTTGGAAGACACACCCTGCAAGGGCATGAACTTAGTTCAATAATGGGAGTAGCTCCCCTGTTTCACCAGTCCCTGTTAGGGAATAGATATGTCAAATTCAGAGCTGCCTCAGAGTGTGCTAATACGGAAAGTAGTAATGAGCTGCTTACTGTACTCGTCAAAGGGCCGGTGTCACTGCTGATACTGAAAGCAGGAATGAGGAACGTTTGCAAGTCTCCTTCAGTCCGATCCTGTAGAGAGCTCGGCCTTCAGGGAGGGAAGAGCCACCCACGGTTAGACCCTCCAACCTGCTGACTGCTATTCCGTTTTCTTTGGCTGCTGATAATGGGCATGGGTATCTCAGTGCTTCGACTCCTCCCTTCATGCCTTGTCACTTCCCGGCTACTCTCCCCACTCTTGCTTTTCATTCTCTCTGGCAGGGAACTCTTTGGCCTATCACGAGATGCACCTACTCTGCTTTCCTCATCAGGAAGGCGCGAGATCATGGTCAGCATTTCTTCTTTTCAGGAAGCCTGAAGATGTGTCGAGTTTGCGTCATGGCGAAAAGTCATTCCATTGGGAAACTTCTTTCCTCTTCTACAAATGAATGACACACAAAATTTGGAAATCCATGTTACATATACAGAGTGCCTTCCCTTCATATGCAGTTACAACTTCAGAGGGAGGATGTGAGGAGGACAAACACAGGACGGAAGCAGTGGTTCCCTGGGGTCAGCGGTTTTCACATGGGAGGAGGGATGTGAGGGGAAAACTGGGGAGAATCCGGCCTGTTGCATGAAGATTCGAGTTGAGCCAGCCCAACAAGTGAAGAATTCACCTCTTTACCAAGCAACATGAATCATAATTGAACCATTTTGAATTGTGTTTAGTTGGGGTTCCTTTGGTGCAACAGCTTCTCTTTTACTATGCCTCGCACGTACGAGGCTGCCCACATTTATTGTGGTTGAGCTGCAATAAATCGCAGCATCCCAGTGGGACTGTACACTAACTGTGTTTGCTGTTTCGTTGGTTTGGGCCTTGCGGGACTTGATCCCGTGACCTGTAATTTGTACATTTGGTTTGTTAACTTTGAGCCCTACGGGCCTTTATACGTAGACATGTAGCTATTAGTCTCTATTTGGCAGTCGTAGAAAGTGGGGCGGTCTCCCGGATTGAGCTGACCCTCGGTGGCAATTAATTAGGGCGTTGACCCTAATAAGCACCGCCGGTTGAACTGAGGGTTTCGCAACCCTCAAATGGCAGGCGCTGCCTGTTTGGCCGTCCACCAGTTTTTGCAGACCCCACTTGGGGGAATATCAATTTGCAGCAGACAATTGAGCGGCGAATCACATGCAGAGTTCATTGGAAGTTGTGGCGAAGATTCAGTTTGGGCGATGACCGACAGTGAGTCAGCCAGGCTGTTACATACTCGTGAATGCAGCAACGAGTATGGGGCAGAACCAAAGATCAACCAATATAGGAAGAGCATGTATGCAGCGGAAGTCTGATAAATGGACTGACTCACATAGACTGACTCACACAGATATCACTCCACACACATACAATCGTGAGATGGTGGGGTCTGAGCCATGCATAGACGATGCTGAGGCCCCATACACACGTACACAGATGGAAGGTGGGAGGAGAGACGAAGGAGGTGGAGGAGGTAGACAGCACCGAAGGTCACCGAGATAGAATCCGATAGGTCACCGAAGAGACGAAGGAGGTGGGGGAGGTAGACAGCACCGAAGGTCACCGAGATAGAATCCGATAGGTCACCGATATGGTAGTCCAAAATGTCATCAAACAAGATCAAAATGTCGAGGACAATAAGTCACCAATGTCGGAGATACAGAGTCCTAATGTAAACGGTGTCCGAAGTCACCAATGTCGGAGATACAGAGTCCTAATGTAAACGGTGTCCGAACTGTGATGCCGCCGAGTATCACAGCCTCATACCACCGAAGTCCAACACTGATCTCTGTCCAACTAGTATGAAGTCTCCAATCTGAAGAAGAAGAAGAAGAAGAAGTCTGAAGAAGAAGAAGAAGAAGAGATGAGATGAGATGGCAGAGGGGAAGAAGGAGGTGAGGAGGAGGGAACGGGACCGTGGAGGGAGGAGAAGAGATCCTCGCCTCCTGGTACCTGCCCGGCTGCTGTCGAGGCGGCTATGGCCGCCGTGCTGCTGCTGGTCTCCTCCCTCGCTGCCGCTGCTGCGCTAGCTCGCGCTGCTGCTGCTGCCCTCCGCTCCTGGCTCAAAATAGCGCTGCTGCTGCCAACCGATACGCACCGGCATAATGCTGGTGGCTCGGTTCCCTCGAAGTGAGGCCGGACCAGTACTAAGTACTGGTTCGAAGATGACCAGCCTCAATGCTGTGAGGCCTCGGTTGGGTCTGAATCGTCCAGATGGGCGATTCAGATCCGACCGGAGAGCGGCAGTCTCAAAGGCGCCGCCAGGCCCAAAACGAAAATGTCGTTTGGGCCTGGTCCGTCGGTCTGGTCCAAGTCGTGGCCTTCCGGCCTGATAATCCCCCAAGGTCGGGCCTTTAGGCCCTAATGTGTCCCTCTAGCCCTAAGTCGGGTCCGGTAGGACCCGTGTGGCGTCGAAGATATAACACAGGCCCTGTGTATTTCTGTCAACAGGTTGACTGGTGGCAGTCTCCAATCAAGACCTTGATCGAGTGAGCGAGTTCGACCTGTTCCTCTGACGCCAGTCCGTCAGTCTGTCAGATCTGCCAGTCTGTAGCCTGCGTAGGGGTCAGTGCAAGTTTTTCAGTCTGGTCCTCGTCAGTATGTCAATGAGTTGACTGTATGATTTTTCTGCAGTTGACCATGGGTCTTGAGCCTGGACACAGACTGTGGTTGCGGTCCCTGTTCTGTCAGTCTGTCCTGTCATGGTCTGTCATGTCAGATCTGGTGTCAGTCCAGTTCAATCCAGTTCAGTCCTGTCAGTCCTGAAAGGTCAGTCAGTCGTGTCAGAACGGTCGGCACAGTGACTCTGTATCCAAAGTCTAATAAAGCCCAGTTAGTCAATCTGCTGGTCAGCAGCCTGCAAACTGCGGTTTATTTTTTATCCGCAAATTGAAAGATCATTCTCCTGCAGATTTATTTTTGTTTCTGCGAGAACTCGGGTGAAACGGTTTTCACCTTTTAGCAGTAGCAGATGCAGTACCCAGGGTTCCATCCCTAGACCTCGCCCTACCCATGTACAGTATCTGTGTAGACTCCGAGAGTTGAACCTGTGACCTGTGTATTCGTAGACAGTTGGTAGGTCTGTCATAGGTCCGTAGGTAGCAGGGGTTCGATCTGTAGATCTATAGGGTAGAAGTCTTAGTGAAGTTCCAGAAGCCTAGCTGTAGTCCTTCTAGAAGGTCGGCAAGTGGGCAAGTGGTCAAGTGGCCAGTCAAGCGGTGGACTAAACTGCAGTGCAATTGCAGTACGACTACGGTAGGATAGCAGTGAGTCCACAGTCAGTTGGCGGTAAGGTCCAGTCAGTCCCAGTCCGGTCCAGCGAGTACCACGGGGGGACTGTGAGCACCATGGGCCGATGGCAAAGGGCAGACCAACGAGTTTCCGAATTATAAATCAAGAGGCAGCACCCTGCCATTCATTCATTCCTGCGTGAGCCATGCGGAAGCGCTGTCACAGCGACTTGTGCAAGGAGGTCTGCAGTATGCCCGAAGGACGAAGTAGGCGAGAGAGAAGGGCGTAGCATAGCGATAGGGTAGAGGCAGCCATAGCTGCCATAGCTGTAGCTTAGTGTGAAGTGTGTGTGTGCAAGTGTGAGTGTTCAGAGTGATGCGTGTGGGATATCCAGGGTGATCCGGTGTGTGTGAACAGTGAGTTGTTTGGGCGCTGAGTCGCCATAGCCAGTTGAAAGTGAACTCGTGTCTGGAAGCCATATCTCTGAGTTTTGAGTGGGCGCATGTCGCCAGTTTGTTGCGCTACTGTTTACATGCATGAAAAGCATGAATGAGAAGCCGCCGAAGGCTGTAGTCCGCCATAGCGAACCCGAGGTTGGAGAAGCCGCCGCGCACCTGCAAGAAGCCCACGACGAAGAAGAAGACAGAGAGAGAGAGAGAGAGAGAGAGAGAGAGGTTGAGCGATACAAGATTGGGTTACTACGTACCTGTTGCGCTGAAGATACTGCTACGACGAGAGAGAGAGAGAGAGAGAGAGAGAGAGAGAGAGAGAGAGAGAGAGAGAGAGAGATGAGTGATACAAGTTTGGTTGTCACATACCCGTGAAGCGAGCTGTGCAGTCCCACGTGGAGGAAGAAGAAGCGGCCAAAGCCGCGGAGTGTCACCACGGAGTACCGAAGGAGGAGAAAGACCGGACAGAGGGGGAGAGACTGAGAAGGGAGTTTGGCCATAGCCGAGAGGAGAAGAGAAGGCCGATCAAAAAAAATAAAAGAAAAAAAAAAAAAGAAGACAGCCGGGGTGAAAGGACGTGAGGAAGGTGAAAGGAAAAAGAGGATTGGCGAGGAAGAGGAGCCGGCCGCCATAGCTGACCGGAGTTGACCAGGGGTTGACCG